ACAAGACAAGAGTTTTTGGGTAAACATAAAGTTGAAACGTCTAATCTCTAGGTTTATCAGACCACTTCGCTTACGAACTTCACTAGAGTTTTTCTCCTCGTATATTTTTTCTTTCACCCTCAGTAGTCGTTTTAGTTGTTAATATGTAAGTCGATCAAAACTTACAAAAATGGTTTCAGTGGGACAACAAATATCAAAACAGAATTTAAGGTAACAAGTGATAACATCAGTAGTGATTTCCAGTGAGTCACCTGTAAATAATTCCCAGTTAGTCGTATGAAACATGTTTTCAGACTTCGGATATTTTCTTTTGACTACTTCCTATTTTGACTTTCTTGGTTTGATGTAAGAGTGTACTCTTTCCATGCTTTCCACATACTTTAATTAGAACACGAATTATACTGTGATCCGAGCTAGACAATGGAGCATTTTCACGAGTCACATATATACCCACATTATTAATGAAAACGAAGTCTAAATGAGCATCCAAACGAGTAGGAAAATCTACTACATTTTGGTGACCTAGTGACGTAAGGAAGCTACAGTCACATGAATTGAAATCACCACATATAACTCAAAGTGAATCACTGAAAGCAGTAACAGCGAACTCAGCGAATTCGTCAGCGAAGACGGATAGCGCAGATGATGTGGAGTCTGGAGTCAAGTAGATATTGGTAGCATAAACATATTTGCATTTATTCAGATGTTTTGGACAACATCTTAGAGTTAGACAGTCGATAAAGTCATTTTAAAACTTGAAACACGCAAACGAATGTCGACATCAGTTCACGTTTACAAACGTAGCTACACCGCCGCCACACCTCTTTTTATTGTTTGATCGATTTTGACGATAAATTTTGAAGTCACGTAGTGATACTGTGGTGCGTGCTACTTATATTGATGTAAGTAGTATATGACGCGAGTCAGGAACGTAATATCTGGCAGCAGAAGATGGGGAAGACCAAGGAAAGAAGAGCGAGAACACAATGCAATTTGTAAGAAAAAGCATGAACAATGAAATATGAGACAATGGATTGATAATTGCAACAACAACAGTCCGGTTTGATATGATGTAATGATATTTTGCAAAGTAACGATTTGCTATATAGTTTTTCTATTTGGCCCAGATATTCAAGCAAGCCGCCGAAGTGTAGTTTAAACAAAACAGCACTGAGTGCATTACTAACATTTCTGTGAAAAGAATGAATAGAATGTCATCGTTTCTATGTGATATGTCTTCTATTTGAACTTTAGATTCAGTTTCTTGAGGTCTTCTAGTAAACTACAGGCTAAATCTACATGGGAGAGATGTGAAATATGGAAGAAACGGTTTAATCCAAGGTTCGTTTATGCACAGAAAATCTAAGTCATTTATACTATTTTAGATGGCTTTGAGTCTTGGAAATCTGATCAGCCGTAATGTATCTATGACAAAATCTCTATACGGATTCAAAAAGCTCGTTTGGACTTCGCCAACTTATGTCACCTATGGCAAAAGCGAGATATCCGTCTATGAATTAAAGGGTGAGTATGCTGCGCAGCAGCTCGTTCTGCTCTAATTGACGGCTGCGAAACGTGGCCACTAAGAGTAGAAGATATTCGTAAGTTACTAGTATTTGGCCACAGATGTCTTGGAAATATTGCTCGCATCTGCTGAGATCACCAGGTAAGTAATAATGAGGTTAGATGCAGAGTATTAAGGAATGATGGTAAATCATTTGATGAGGTTGTGAGTCTTCATCGACTGAGATGGTTGGACCACGTGTTACGTATGCCTGAACACCGATTACCACGACGTGCAATGCTAACCGGTGTTCGGGATGGTTGGAAGAAAGTCAGGGTCGGCCAAACGAGAACGTGGCATCAGTGCTTGAAGTCACTAACTTCTAGTCTGATCCATGTTGGTAGATGCAGACTACTTGGTTGGGGACTGTGGGTGACATAGCTAAGAATCGGTCACAGTGACGTAGGTGTATACACTCTTTGTCTTCCCTTAAACTATGAGATTAAAATCGCTTCATATCCTTCTTTCTACGAACTAATTCTTTTCTCTTGTACTATGTTCTTATATGTAATCTTTCTTTTATATATTACCACCACTGAATTAACTACTTCTATGAAACTGGTGTTCATCTTGCTGTGCTAATGGCAACTTGGACCGATGCGAGGTCCTACGTTGTAGCTGACTGACTGACTGACTAGGGCTTTCGGGGAATGCTAAACATAATAGCAGAATAAGTAGTCATTCAGTCAGAAACGTGACATGTGATATTTCATTTTCTAGATGTTTCTGACAAAATTTCTATCGAGTGTTGATTAGCTAAGATATTTCTCAGTATATTCAGAATCCTCTTGATCTTTTCAATAATATGATCTTTGTTTAATTCTTAAATTCATAATCTATATAGAATTAATTTAATATGAATCATTATATAAACGATTAAAAATATAAATCTCTATAGAATGTATTTAGAATTATCTGTTATTTCATTATATTTCCTTAATAGTTCAATGTTGACTGAAATGATTTATTAATGGCAAATTAAATCAATTCACCAATTATTAGATAACTAATATGAAAAACAAAATATCCTTTTCATTCAACCAATAAACTGTGAATAAAAGAAGAAGAGAAAAAAAAGGAAAGTCAATCGATTCAGTCCATTATGTAATAATCAGTTGTTAAATACATCTTCATAAATTGAATTGAATTCACATTTTATATCCATCTAATTAAATTACTATTCCACTTGTTGAAATCATGATTCAATTGAAGCTGGACCAACATGGAAAACCTCGAAGCACTGAACGGCTGTTTCGTCCTAGTATGGGGCTCCTCATCAGTGCGCATCCACGACCTCGCACCCAACGGGATCCGAACCCAGGATCTATCAGTCTCACGCCAGGCGCTTAAACTAATAAATTACTATTCATTAAGCTTTCTAGTAATTATATATGTTGATTAATTTCAAATCTGTAATCACGAATATAAATTAGGTAGGTCTATATTAATAGTTGAGATCAGGAGTCAATTGAAGCTAGACTACTATAGAAAATGAGGGAAGCTTTAGACGGTTGTTCCGTCCTACTATGGGACTAATGATCTCAACTATTAAAATTGTTATAATATCCACAAAACCACTTATAATATTGATCAATATATGCTCACTGGTGACTGACTTCAAGAGGTATTTCTTGGAGTTCTAGTAAGAAACAGTGACGAATGGATTTCAACTGGGTCTGTTATGACATAGTAACTCACTGAAGACAGTAGTGGATGTGTAGCTGAATTTTGTGGATTACTTGAAGTTAGACATTTACACTGTAGGATGCTGGCTCAGTGGTTTAGAGGTTAAGCGATCTTTAGGAGTACTTAATCAGATTTTAATACTGAATAGTTCAAAAAGTTCGAAGAAAATGAGTGTAACTCATCTAAAGTGAATTTTTGTTTTGATCATATTATTAAGATCAATTTTGTGTAATCAAACAGTAACAATATCCAATCATATAGAGCAGACTATATACCTGCCTAAGTATACTTTTCACCAGTTTGATCCGTTTTGTTTTACAGATGAGAAACATGACGAAATAAAAAGTGAAAACGGAAGTTTGCTATAGACGTCTTGAAAACATTGTTGGTCTACAGTGAAATTAAGGAATAACAAATGCTAATGTTTAGTATATGGTTTTAAGTAAAAATGGTATTTCAATTGATGAGACAATATTTTATGCATATCCAACTGCAATGTTCCCTGAGGTTTATGATTAGCCGATATAACAGTAGGTTGGATAAAGTCAGCAGTCAAACGAATATAGTTCATTAGTACTTGGACTCATTTCGTGTTGGTCTATGGCAAATACGTAGGTGATATCTTCTTAGCTGAGATTTATGAATTTTCACTCACTAGATATTAAGTTTAACATTACTTTACACATTTTCTTCTTTCATCTCATCTGTTGCTTAACAAGATCATATCCTCTCATGTGGTTCGATTACTATTAATCTACTGTCTTACTGAGCTGATTTACAAAATATGATGATGAAATGGAAAACTTTATGAAGTCATATACTGGTGATAGACTATTAAAAGTAAAGTAAAAACATTAACTACATCATCATTCGTTTCCTTTAGAAGTGGTGAGGCTCTTTAAGTTTTATAACAAAATGTTAGTTTAAAGAAAACTGATCAACATAGATTTAATCAAGCAATAAGTCTTATCGATTCAAAGTTAACCATCTTTGTTCATTCATCCAAAAAAGGTAGATTTTGTGTGTTATACAACCCACTGTAAAGATAATAGATTGATGTCAGTGATATGACGGCCTAGTTGAACATTTGTGCTACCTATATCTTGCCATTTAGATATTTCATTATGGCTCTTAATCGTATAACGTATTCAGTTGCGTTTCTGAAAAGTCTACAACCTTTCGTTGTACAAGTTACAAAAGGCTGAGTCAGAGATATGGTGGTTTCTGGCATTATACAGTTAAAAAGAATGTACATTATTTAGGTGTCTATTGACTGGACTGTTAATTTCTAACTAGCAACCACTTAATATGTTATCGTCAAGACCGACCAAGAATTAAGAAACAGAAACTTGTTATGCTAAGAATTCTACATTGTACCACAAATATAATATTGAATATAACCACTTATAATAATAATGTTGTGAAGAAGAACACGAATAGGGACTATCGAATGGAGTTGGACCTAAAACTTACAGAATATCTCACTTAAACTGAGAACCATACATTAAATACTTAATTTGCAAAATATCAGTCAATTGTCTGCAAATGTCAGTCCATCGTCTCACATTTAATTGTTTGTGTAATTTCATACCGATTGCCTTCTGTTTTCATTCTTTCCTTCTTCATTGCATTCTATCTCTGACTATCGTTATATACTACTTTTGTGGATAAAAGTAGCTCACACCCCAACAATAATAATTAAAATGATAATTAAGAGAATACAACTATTAATTTATTGATTTATTTTTAGCTACTTCAACAAAAACACAATTGACAAAATATCCAAATGACTCTATTAATCAAACATCAATGGAAAATATAATAAATTTAAACACTAATAAATTCATCAATCAAAATAATACATTAAATGAAACATTGATTAATTCATTCAATATACATAAATCAATAAAATCGATTGAATTTGAAAATGAATCAATAATATTACATAATAATCAAATATCAATAAATCAATTAATGATTCCATTAATTCTATTTGCATTAATTATAAATTTCTTAATAATCAATACAATAATAAAAATATTATATAAACAAATACCATGGATAATATTTTTATTTTATATTATTATACTGGATCAATTTGATTTATTGATCTGTATTATTGATCTTATTATTGAATCATATTATGAAATTAAATTATTTATTATCATACAGTTTTTTGGACGTTTTTATTGTCAAATTATACCAATGTTATATAATTTAATAAAACATATACATTCAATATTATATATAATTTTTACAATGGAAACAATCAAATTATATTTGTATCCATGGCAACAATTAAATAAGCCATTCAAACAAATAAAACAATTTATACAAAATATATTGATATTAATTATTGTTATAACAATTATATTAAATTGTCAATTTATATGGACGTATGATTTATCAAAATTAGAAACATTTATATTACATGAACGTATATTACATAATATATACAAATGTGATTTTGCATTAACATGGATATTAAGTCCAATATTTTTAAATTATATATGGCCATTAATAGATCACATAATTGGTGATATATTACCATGTGTCATATGTTTATTTAGTGGATTAATTAGTTATATATTATATCGATTTCAAGTAATCAAATATCAGAAAGAAATCAATAATAAGTTCGATGATCATCATAAAAGTAGTCAAGAGAAATATTTAACTATATTCATCAATAATAATAATAATAATAATGGACAAAGATATAATAAAAATTATTTATCATATATTAGATGGATTATGAAAATAATTCGAGTATTTAATTTAATTTGTATTATTCATGGAATATTTTTGATACCACGATGTTTATATTATTTAATGAAATATTTCTTCTTTATAAGTAAGTTCAACATAAATTTTTTATAAATTTTTAGTATTACTGAAATGTATTTAAAGTAGCATAAAATCTTAGTTGAAATTTTTGATGCAACGATACTCATTATGAGATTCTAATATATAGAACTTATTCTATAGTAAAATGATTGTAAATGGAAGTTTGTTATTTAAAATTAAACGGTAACAACACAAAAACTGGATGACTGATAGTAGCAGAGATATGTGGAAACATACTGTCCAATAGACCTTATGGCCTCAGCCATAACTTAATTGGGATATTAGGACTGATACTCATGAGTGTACAAGACTTCAATAAAACCAGGTAGGAAAGGGATAGTAAACAATAGGGATTAAATATACAGTGTTGAGAAATTCAGTAATTATTTATTAGATTTGTACCTAACTGAAATTCTAATTATGACACATGTTTGTGGTTGATGAAGTTGTTGTAATTAAGAGATATTTCCAGTAAAGATATATTACCCGGAGACTAATATCAGGAGAAAATATGAAAAGAAATTGGAAGATCATTGCGTAATGCCGACAATGAATTGAAATTATAAGTAAAACCCGTTGGTTGCTGCATCAATGGATTGAATGCTAAGCACTCGATGAAAGATTTGAACGTGTTGGTTTGGTTTCTAGTAGGATCTTGCATGAACACTATTAAAATGTAGCGTACTAAGACGAAATAGCTTTCCACTGTTCCTTGATTCTCAATGTTTGCAAAGGTTCAGTTCTTGATGTAAACTATAAGAAACATGAGACTGAATCAAAAGGATTTCCAAGATATCCACAAACATTTCGGAAAATTGAAAATGCGTGAAATTCAAGAAAGCATAAGATTACCAAAAGTTTTACACTAAAACGAATATTCAGCAGTCACATGTTTCTTATAATCATCATGCAAGGAAGTTTAGAGATTTCAATAACTTGTCTAGATCTTCCAAGTAATTGTGTAAATTTAACACTTCTACAAGTCTTTTAGTTATCTCATATATTTTAGATTATCTGCTAAATTTCATGCAAAGATTCACTTCTTATCAACCAATGTATGTTTTTTATATCAACATAACTATATATAATTTTGATATCGTCGATTGAATAGTTTCACTCCACTCAAATTATGATGTCAAACCAGCTTTAATTAATCATCTACAATATTTTGTCTTTTTCATTACTATTCAATCAATAAAATTATCTTCTTTACATATAATAGAAGGTTGTTAATCACTGTATTTTCCACGTATATTCATTGGTTTGTAAAGATATTTTCCTTTAAATAGTCAATATATCCACTTTGATCACGAATTATTATAAATAAATACAGATATCAGAAGGGGCTTTGTGGATATTATAGTAATTTTAATCAACATATGCTCACTAGTGACTGACTTCAAGAGGTATTTCATGCAGTTCTAGTGAAAAACAGTGACCAGTGGAGTTCAACTGGGTCTGTTATGACATAGTAACTCACGGATGACAATGGTGAATGCTTCGCTGAATTTTGTGGATTAGTTGAAGTTAGATATTAACATCGTTGGATGCCAGTTAGCTCAGTGTTCTAGAGGTTAAGCGTTCGCGCGCGAGACTGATAGGTCATGGATGAAATCTCACGAGGCGGTGTCATGGATGCGCACTGCTGAGTCGTCCCACAACAGGACAAGACGGCCACCTAGTGTTTCCCGGTTTTTCATGGTAGTCTAGCTTCAATTGACTCATAATCTGAACTATTAAAATATACATATATCTATATTCTAACGCATTAATGTTCACTTTAAATTTTAGGTAGAGTAACAAATCGTAATAATGTACGTAATCATGAATTAGATGATTTTCAAAATCAAACAGATCAAGGACTATTGAATACTATCGGTTATATTATGGAATTATTAAAACCTTATGAAATTTATTTAAGTAACTATGAGTCTGCATTACGTTTTATAAATTTTATTGAAATATATATAAGAGTTATTGTTCTGTTATTTGGTATAAAAGAATTTAAATCAAATCTTTATACACATTTAACTACAATCATAAATTATTGTAAACGATTATCATTATGTAATCTATATGATGTAATTCCAAAAAAATGTACAAACGTTCCATTCATAAATTATGGGAAGAAAGTATTTATCCGAAATTCTGGTCATCAAGCTAAATCTGTGCATCGAACTACTACTGATTTACCACTGAATTATGAAAAAGTCAATGAAGATGTTGTCGAAATGTCGGAATATTTACACAAGAAAAACTGTAGCTCTGGTGATCTCAGCAATGATAATACTAATAATAGTAATGAACAGAAGAAAATACCTTCTTTCGTAGAATATGGCAACACAATGAATTCACAAACCTCTTTAATTACTAATACCCAGTTTAATCATACTACTTATAAATATAAATGTAATGAATCGAATACAATAAAAATTAATAAATTCACATCTAATCTTAACATTAATGCAAAATATGATTGGTATAACTTGAAAAAATATAAATCAAATTCAAAAAATCATAATTTTAATGATATTTCAAATTTCGAATTATTTAGAAAAAAATATCAGATCATTTATTTATAAAATATGAATTATACTACTTAAATGAATAAAAAGTAAACAAGTTTTACATTACGAAAAAATGTCTATTATCCTCAAAAATATTTATGCACAATTTAGTGGATTTTAATAAATTCTGTTTAAATTGATTTTTTAAAATTGCTTCTGTTATAATTTGTGCCATGTATCCTATTAATATATGACGTAATGATACCACGAATTAGAGAACGGTTTATTATCGACCGGACCAATGATGCATGAAACAAGTACGAGCAGTCTGGAATCTTTATCGGTCCTGATTCCCATCTAGTCTTACCTGTTAAGTCCAGAACACCAATATCAGCCTCCGCGATATGAATCATTTATTTCAAACGTTCTGGGTTTATAGACCTACCAAGGAGACCAAATCACACCATAAAATAGGAGAAAACATTTATACAATACTTAGCCCAAAGTGACTGTGAATGTAGGAGATGGTAATTGATAGGCAAGGCATAACTCAAGAATGGTAAATCGTATAATAACAGTTCATAAGTCAAAATAAAGCTTAGAAAAAGAGGAACACGAATACGAATAGCTTACTTGTTTAACAATTATACAATAAGAATATATGTGTAGTATTAGTTCAGAAATGGATCCCAAAAGTTACCATTCATAATTCTCACCGGGACATAACAACTTCACACTTAAATATTGGTATTAATGTGAGAATGTAATGTAAGTAAAATTATGATAAATACAGATGTTGAATATGAGAACTACATATAAAAGAATTTAAAGATTGATAAATTTAATAAGAAGTAAATATTTAAACGTTATCAATGTAGGTAGAAAGGTATAGATAAATAACTGAGAATAATACCATTTTAGGCTAGAGATCTAACTAGTTCGTTGATTCATTATGAAGGATGATGTTCAGAAATATAAAAATTGTACTTGAGTATTTGTCAGTTGCATGTGACTAGCTCCACAGGAGCAGTAAAACTGATAAATATATAGAGAGATTGTTGATTTTTTCTAATTAGTTGTATGTTAACAAGAAGGGCCAAAAACGTTTAGTAGGAAGGAATGTAACCGTCCATCCACAAGATATTAAGATAAAGAAAGTCATTTGCATCTGTAAGGATTGCTTTTTGTATCTGCTAGATTGAAATCTGCGGTTACTAAGGTTAAATGGAGGGACTTTTAGACAAATTATTGTTTGCACGTATGCTTATGTTATCTGTTACGAAATCAAATGCTTTATATTATGCTCGAAAAGTGGTAGCTCATTTGACAATTGGTTGAGCCAATATTAGGTTTTTCTAGCCGTTAGTGCTGATTGAATTCCATCGATCCAATTGTAATAAGACCACTATTCTAAGTGATTAGCCATTGAGTGCACTATGATGAAATGTTAATTGGGTGAGGATTTTCGACAGGAAACTGTGAACCTAGGTTTCGTGCTGGTTGATATCTATCAGCAAGGTGTATCTGTAGTGTTGAAGAAACTGCTGCCTTTGGGGGATTCGAACCCGTTTGAGGAGACCGAACCAGTACATATGGTTTAGGCAAACGTGACATCGGTCACTACTTAGAGATCGATCAGTTGTATGAATCCTATTCCCACATGTCAGTCATAGACCAAATAGCTTAGCAGTTACCACCTTACTGTGATACAGGTTAACAAAGTTTGACTATGTCGAATCATCTAACAAGAAGATTGATGAACGAACGTCAGCAACTATGACGTGAACACAATTATAAATGATCATGACCTTAGACTATCTCACTAGTTGAACTTGCGAACTATGTTAAACTATTCATTGATAGCCTACTAGCGCCACCGGCTTGATGTTACTAGAGGATTGACTGTTCCATCTAGAATTAGTTGGTTACCACAGAGAAAGTATATTCCAACCACCCTGAAGAAATAAAGTTTATTTAGTTCAATTTTAAACCTACATTGACTGAATAGTGAGAGGTAGCGAGTGTTATGCTTGTCTAGTCTTGCATATCAATAGGATTCTGTCGACCAAGTATTAACCTAGATAATAGTATAAGTAACTCGGCAGTAGTAGCATCTCTGATTGCTTGACTTGACAGATTTCGTCCTAGTCATACAGAAAAATCTGATTCCTTTAAGACTAAATGGACGCTTTGTTGAAAACTGTCGACTTGGATGAAGCTTAAATTCAGGTTTTCCTCCCGAATGCCAGTTCAATCACCACTATAATTCCCGTAGACACCTTCTGTTAAGTTCGAGCACATAAAAGTAACGATCAAAAGAAAACGATAAATAAATCACTAAAAGGCTTCAGTCCCTTTTTGTTATACTTTTGAGCACTTTTCATTGAGTGAATCGAATTATCCTCGCTTTAACACCTATGGAACGTATGTAGCACAACTACATTACCTATGAGTAATTAAGATGAATTCTTTTTTCGTACTATTATAGTGACTCACGTGCAATTGGGTTTAGTTCAGTCAAGGTCTTTTGTTGACCTATTTAATGGACAAAGTCATCCATGATATAACAACTTGTTGTACTATCTTTATTATTATGCTTGTATGAAATACATATGCTTGAACATTGTTTAGCGCCTACGCATGTATTCATTCTGCTAGCTTCATTATAAACTGCTTAGTCTATACGCTGACTCATCCATTTTCCTATACATATATATGTGTACATTTGCACCCATTCACTACCACTAGTACTACTACTACTACTACTACTACTACTACTACTACTACTACTACTACTACTACTACTACTACTACTACTACTACTACTACTACTACTACTTTCTC